TCTCCTTTAAAGTTTATTATTCAGAAGAAAGGAAACCCTGGATATCTTTCACTTCTTGTTCTTATATGTTTGCAGATAATCAATAATTATAGCCATAAATTTTTCTTTGAAGTCTGAATTATCTGAAAATATAATTTAAGACCATTGAAACTGCCCCCTAATCATTCTCTTCCTAAACCAGTGTCCTTAATTTATGTTTTCAAGTATAAATATGCATAGGGGCATTCTTGCTCACCATACTTTCTAAAAAAGTGCCTTAGGGCTAAAATAGCTATCTCTTCTAATCTTTGTGATTCTTATTAGGTGTCTTACATAAATTGTGAGGACAGTGTTTAATGACAAGGAAGTAATATATCAAAAGAGAGACTTAAGCAAATCCAGACCTAGTAAGTTTTCAAATAACAGGATACAGTGTGGCCTTCAACTGTGAGTAGCCTAGACTCCAGGAGGTTCATAAATTTAGAATTTATAAGTTATAGATAAGTTAGTAATTGCCTGGTGAGACACAACATACCTACCTGAATTATCACGGTGATGAATGAAATGTAACAGTACATCTTTAAAGAACAGTTTTTCTGCTGTTGCTCCTCTGGCAGTTATGTCTGACTCCGATGTGTTGTCCCATGTTCCAGGGAAGTAATAAAACTTCAACTGACCTGATTTCTGTAGGAAAGGAGATGGATGATAGGAAAAACTTTCAGTTAAATACAGATTCTCTCTTGTCAGAATGTCAGTTCAGATTAGATGCCTACTGAGCCTCTATAATTTTATTCTTAGGTCATACAAACACAAATTTGTATATACTGCTTATGTCTCAGTCCTTGAGCATACATCATTCAGATTGATTCTTAAAAGGAATGCAAGAGTATCTAGAAGGCAGAAGCAAGAGTAGTGAGAAGCTTGGCAGAAACGTAGAAGAAGAGGCCTAACTCAACATCATGCAGTTTTTGAAAATTTACTCACATTATGGAATATTGTTTCACGCTTGTATATAACCATTTGCAATTACCATATAGATACTTGTAGAAGCAAATTCATTCCCACTGATCAACAATCACATCCTCCCCGCCCCCCTTTATATTTTCTAGCCCTGTTTAGGTTTCGGATTATATACGATAGGTATTATACCACCGAGCATATGCTCAGAAGAGACCCAGCTGGCTGGAGGCCTCTGAGTTAAGGTCCTTCTTTCTACAAGGCAAAAATCTAATTTGTATTTTATTGGTACAGGCAACTGTTCTTTAATGCTTTCCCAGTGACTCACCTGCTCTCGGTCTTCTCTTTTTCTGTCACTTCTATTGTGTATGTATTTTTATCTTTTCCACAAACATACTTATTTTAATGTACCGACAGCCCAGCACATTACTTTTATGAAGTTGTAATTTCAAATAAGAACTAATTCTGACTTAATAGTGGTGGCCAGTTATGTGTGTCATCTTCAACTTTTTGGAATAGTTTACAGAAATTCAAGATTGAATCATCTCTAATTTAAAAAAAAAATTAAACTTGGATTATTTTGATTTTGGGACTAAAGATTATTCAGCTATAGTAGAAGAGTATTTCTAGAAGGTTTTATTATGCAGATGAAAATATCTAGGACATGTAGGATTACTGTAGAGTTACTGCTCTTTGCAGTGGGTGAGGTGAGACAACAGAACTGATATTATTGAGAAGAATCCTGAAGAGCTTTTAATCTTAAGAAAAAAAACAAATTGCATTGCTTGATGCCTGCTATTAACATAATTTTGTCATCTGTGAACATCTAACTTAAATTAGTTTAGAGCTTAAAAATTTCTAGAATATGCTCAGTACCTGCAAAATAGAGAACACATTGCAGCAACCAGAAGACTTCACATTGCTTGAGAAGTTTGGGGTTTTTTGCTACCTGTGCAGTTTTTAATTGAGGCTTATCGTCTTAATCAGTTGATAGAATTCCAGACTTTTTAAAGTATTAGCAATTCTTTTTTGACTCTAGCTTATTTAAGTTCTGCTTGGCATACTATTATCATATTTGCTTTATTAGGGAGAGATTTGGGAAGAATTTACTTGTCAGTAATTTACATTCCAACCATTTTCTCAGTAACCCCATCATTTTTATTCATTCTTCTCTGACATTTATATTCTTGCAATATTAATTACAGAATGTTGAATAACATTTAGCAGATCAAATTGGAAGTTAAGAGCAATTAGGAAAGGAGTAGAGTACAAAGGAGGGAAGATCACTATGTCAGTATGAATACTTGGTGAGCCCTCACCTTGAATGCCATGTGAAAATCTGATCCTTGTCACATCACTGAGGACTGAGAGGGTGAGGGGTGACAGGGATGGTCAAAAGCCTGAAACAGCTGGGTGAGTAGATCAGAATTTCGCATTCCCTAAAGGAGAGGACAAGGGAAGTGTGACAGAGGTCTGTGAAATCACAAGGAAAGGATAAGTAAAGAACAACCATTCGTTGCCTTCTGAAGTACAAGAATTGGGGATTTCAAGCTTGGTGAGATAGCTAAATACAAATGGGGTGCATGCAAGCTGTAAAGTGACATGTGCTGTAAAGGCAACTTGAGAAGGTAATTTTAGAAAGTTTGATTGGTGGACATGCAAAACAAAGTCAGCACCTTTTAATTCTGAAGTGTGGGACCCTCAGAGGGTTGTAGGAGAAGTCCTGCTACGTGCTTGTCCTGGTCTTGTGCTGGTTTCACTGTTCTCTAAGCCAGCACTGTTGGCTGCCTTTGTAGACAGAATTTTGGGTGGCATAGACATAAAGTAGGATCTGATGTGTGTTCTTATGTTTCATATATCAATTTTTATTTTTTTTTAATGTAGCTGAATTCAGGAGCTGAGCAGGGTTTCACTTTGGTGTTTGGTGACAATCTTAAGGCTGTGGTATTTCTTCATGGGCTTCTCTAGGCAGATTTACTATTACTAGGGGTTTGGCATTCTGACTTATTCTTATAGAAAATCGCATCTACAAGGATTAAACTGAAGTCTGCTGTTTTAGTCATTGTTTTGGTAAATAAATTTTTACCTCTGACTTTTTACAGCAGACTTAATGGACAAGGTAGAAATTCCTTTTTTTCAAGGTAGGAAGGAATCCTCCTCTTGTTCTGCAGTTGCAGTTCAGCTGCTTTGATGCCTCCACATTACACAGCGCAGTCTAGGGAGAAATATTTTCTATATTTATTGTGATAAAAAGGCAGGAATGTAATACAGAGTTAACAGTGCTGTTATTTATAAACTACAAGGTTTTTAAAGTCTTCTCTGATTTAAACCTAAGGTTTCAACTCATGCACATTTATTCTAGTGATAAAACTGTGTATTTGTAAACTTCTTGATTTCAGTTGTACTCTTACTAATAGCCATGCTTTCTTTTTTTTTTTTTTTGAGGATGTGGGCTACAGAAATAATTTTCTATTGAATTCATTTATGGAATGAGATCATTTAAGTTTAAAAAGTTGTATTTGGAGCTGCAGTAAGCCCACTTACAAACTTTTCAAATTCCTTGTTACATCTTTGGAGTCTGCTAGCTGAAACTAGTTACTATTATTACATACCAGTAAGATTGCTAATGCAGAGAGCTTATACTCTGACTGACAGGAAAGGGTAAAAGAGGTAGAGACACAATCACATTACTCTTTTAGGCATGTTTTTTGAACACTGGCTCCCAATCTTGTATTGTTTGCTAGTACATACTCATTTTTTATTGCAAATTCTTGTTAGTATTCTGTTTATTTTGTATATTTTTTTCCCTGTTAACTGTTTCTAGTATTCATTTTCAAGTTCTTTATTCAGTGGTGGTTTAAAATTTGGTTCTACTGAAGTTATCAAGTAGAATTCTGAAGTGGAGCTCCTGTTGCTGCCATCTCAAGCCTATCCTTCGAGAGGCCTTGAGTTATTACCAGATTGTGAACTCATAAAAAGTCAGGTCACAAAACAATGAGCAGGAAAAACTGCAAAAAGTTCGGTAGTATAACGATCCACTAACAGTCTAAATCATTTACCTAAAAAAGGGACTGTTATTTACAGCCATAGTTTACCTTGGGTAATATGAGGAGTTCTTGTTGAAGAAATTGTTATTCCACACCCTGTTCTAGTCATCACATTCTGCAATCATTTTCTGAGTAGTGCTATGATAATATCTAACTGTCAGGGTGCTTTTTGGCCTTTTGCGTTTTATTACATCATATTTGATTTGTGTGGTGCTTGACTTTCCATATGTCCAATGTAAGAAAGATGTGGAAATATGTCTTTGCCCATGCAATTGCTTTCTGCTGGGATTAAAAAACATAAATCACAAATCTAGAAACTCTGGTGAAACTGTATAGTATCATCTTATTCATGTTCTAAAGCAGAGACAGTCTGCTTGATTGGACAGTTTAATGTACCAGCAAAACTTCTGACTAATTCCCTTTTTCCCCTCCCTCAACATTTGCTAATGATGGGAATTCACTATATATATGTATCACTGTTAAAGGATCTTGTGCCATTATTGCTGTTCACTCAAATATAGAGCAGTAATTCATCTTCATTCTCAACCTGGGATTCTGCCACCAAAATGTAGATGGCCTATCTTTAGCTTTCTTATATAATATAAACATATTGTAAAACCATCCCCAGAGAGAAAGTAATTGCAGTGGTTAATGTAATTGTCACTTGCATGAAATATAATTAAAAAATTGAATAAGAGACATCCCCTGAATTAGAATCTAGCAAAGCAGGTGTGGCAAGACCATTTATGTGGGAGCTTTTGCTAAATACATAGTTTGATGAATAAAGACATATCTGTAACTAAACAAGAACTGTATTGCAGAAAATTTTAAAGAAACAAGTGCTCTCTTCTAGCATGCAAGTAATTCTTCCAGTCTGTTACAGTTTGGATTTCAGCAGAATGTGGTATTTAATTTGCTGAATTTTAAACCCTGCTAGCCAGAGTTATTGAACCTGGATCTTTTCCTGTGTCATCTGAGAAACATCTCTCTTACCTACTTAAATTTTTTGCATTTCAGGAATCTTATTCAAAGAAGAGAGGTTATGCATTGGAAGCAATACCCTCTGTACCTCTGGATGCAGTTCCTTCAGAAAATGACAGCAGTCTTTGTGATTCGATAGACATAGCAGTGACCAAAAAACCTTGCTCCCTAGAGATAGCAAGAGTTCCTTCCTCAAGACCAGGTAAATCCCCAAATAATCCTTTACATAGTCTTTGGTGTAAGTGTAATGTTACAGAAGGTATAGAATTATATGTAGAAGGTATAGGTTTATATTTTTAAGAATACGCTACTCTCTTTATTATCACAGCATAATTATAGTCTTCTATAGCTCCTATAAGAGCTTAATATCAGAATAAAGATTAACAGCAAGATGCTATAGAAGGGAAAACAAAGCAGAGGCTTAAATAACTTCCTAGATAAATATAAGATTGCAAAAAGCCAAATTAGAAATCCAATTTCTTTAAGCCCAGCCTTTTGCAGCAATCTATTTACTAACCTGTTTCTGTTTTTTTAATGAAATGCTTAGCAACAACATTTTACAACTAATTCAAAATTTAAAGTACTCTGTATTTTCATGTTACATAAAGGAAGATCTGCTCCAGTTTTGAAAATGAAACAGTGAATGAGAATTGATAGAAATATTAAATGACTATTTGGCAGACTGCTGTTTGTATTATACAGATTTGAACAGCAATGAGTTACGATAGTTAAAAAACAATAGAATTATGCTGAGTCAGATGAATTATATTATCTGTAAGGACTGTTTATGTTCTCCAAAATTATATGCTCTCTTCCATTACCCTTGTTTGAACTCTTCATTAGTCACCACCTGGTACAGGAACTTCAGAATATAATCATTTCACATTAAGTAATCGGACTGAGAGTCTGCTTTGACAAATGACAGTTCTCAGCAGCACAGACCTATCTGAAGTGGGCAATTGACTTTTCGACCTGTGCTATCTTGATTATGAATCATGATTTGGGAAATATACAAGAATGATGGATGATTGTTGACCAACATCATGTTACCTATCTAGTCTGTGTAAGGGGAAGCACCTTCTTGATTTCACAGCTGAACTAGTATTGGAAGAGTGCCAGAGCTATATCAGGCAGAGTATATAAGGGCCAGATATCCAGATACAGCTTTGGAATCTGCAAGGTGAGGTGGATTGGATCATAATTCCCACCTCTCCATAAAATTTGGGCTAAAGAAGACTTGAGGGAACCTGCATTATGAACTGTGATCTAAGAGGTGGCACAAAATAGGATAGCATCTTTATAGCATAGTTGCACAGAGTGGACCAGAATCTGACTGGAACATCAGCATGACTACTTGTGTAACTGAAGGTTTATTTTGTTGATGGCTTTTTGGCTCTGATAATCTAAAAAATTAGCAGACTGTGCAGGACAATATTACGGGTTGTCATTCAGTAAAGCAAGAAAATGCCAAATTATCCTTGTTTTTCAGATTTCTACTTGATTAATCACCATAAACATACTTATTGCATTGGGAAGATTGCCATACCCCTGCCCCATAAATTGGCCAACGGAGTTCATTATCTGCCTCCGTAGCAATAGGGCTCAACTACAAAGCTTTCCAGTGTAATTAGTATTAAAATACCAGGCTTTGGAAGTGTGCTGTCTACTGAACATAGGCATTTTTCTTAGGCATAGTAAGTCCATTAAGATCAGTATGAAAAACAGATCCTAAAAAGAACATTTTTAGGTCTTAATCTGGAAATATGCTTTGTGTACGGTTAAATATGGTGCGTATCAGAGGCCCAGAGAATAACCAAGGAAGCTGTAGGACATTCATGAGGGCACCCATCATCTTTATAATAACAAGGTCAATGAATTCACAACACGAATGTGCTATAATTCCTTCTGTCTTAGTTTTCCATATACCACTATGATCTTTTCCTCGGCATTTGATTGGGAAGAATGTTTGGCTCTATAAATAAGCAGATTCCAAAATGTGATTTTATTTTAAGCTATAAATGTAGTAGTTACCTAACTGGCCTCGCTTGTAAGCCATATCTGTAATCATGTTGGCTGTTATACTACAAATGGCCCAAATGAAATGAACCATGTCGCTCACAGTTATAAGGTACTTAACACTATGCATAATTGTATGTGCATGTCAGCCTGCCACTTCAGTTCATACAGATTTATTGCTTGAATGAGTTATGTATGATTACAGAGATCATTCATTTAAAACATATCTAATTTGCATGCCGTTTTTGCTGAATTTCCCTGTTTTTCTATCACCGAGACACGCTGACTTTGGGAATACTGTTTCAAATTGCTGTACTATGTCATGTATAGAGATCATTTCAGAGCATGAGGCAGCACTTTGAACATAAAATTGCATCTGTCAGTCTCCTTTCCCTAGGTGGTAGGACACTCTGATCAGCTCTCCCCACTGTCTGGGGCATTACTACCTCTTGGCAGTAGGAGTGAGACTGACTGCACACAGTGATTGAAAATTCCCCTTTCCTGTATTGAGAGGAAAGGTCATTCCGGCTGGCCTTTCAATCTGTAGAGCTGCATGTTCTAACTATTATCTGCCCTGCCAGTAAACTCCTAACAGGTTGGGAACAGTCACCTTGTCAGTCACCATTCTCTGATCTACTGGGGAAAAAAACAGACTGCTCTGTAGTTCTCCCAGAATAAGATTCAGGAAATTAAAAATAATATGAACTGGTAGGGAATAGCAGAGGATGAGAACTCCATGCACAAAATGGTGAAGGACTGTTAGATATAAGGGAGAAAAACTGAACAGAAAGGAAATAAAAGTAATCATAAAGTTCGTTACTTCCACTTCTGAAATCCTATGTCATGTGAGTGTTATGTTGTTTGCAAGAAATTAGGTTTATATGGGAAGAACAACAGTTACATTATTGGTTTATGCTGTCAGTTAAAATAATTGCCTCTAATTAGGACTAATCTAAGAGTAAAAAAGACTGCATGTGTGTCTGAGTTCAAGTTCATCTGTTCTTTGTTTCTGCAGTAGATTGATAGGACAAGGTTGGCAGAGTGTGTTAGCATCTCTGTCTCAGTATCTCTGCTTTTAAACTAACAGTTAAGACTTGATAGGAATATTCTGAAATACTGAGACAAATTTTTCTGCTAAGTAAAATATAAATTTGGATTTAAAATGTCATAAATCAATCTCATAAAATTAATTTCATAAATGAATTGATTTATGAATCAATCTTACTAATCTTTCTGTTGGGCTGTTCCAGAACAGTGTCCTCATTCCTTAAATGAGACACTTCTACTAGTCATTTTAATTTTCAGACTGCCCTTCCATTAAAAAAAGACATCACATGATATATTTAACCTTGAAAAATAACCATAAAATTTTATTAGTTCATAAGGCATGCATTAGTATTGCCCTTTTGATCTTAAGGATATAACTAAATTTTGTGAACTGTAGCAACAAATCATCTTGGAAAAGGTGTAAACTTTTAATAAATGGCTAAAGCTCAAGGCACTGGATAATTCTAATGCTAAAGTAGGCATTGTCAAGTATCTTCAAGAAGCTAGTGCGTGCCCTGGTTTTGGATGGGTTAGAGTTAATTTTCTTTCTAGTAGCTGGTATAGTGTTGTGTCTTGGGTTCAGTATGAGAAGAATGTTAACAACACACTGACGTTTTCAGTTGTCGCTGAGTAGTGTTTAGACCAAGTCAAGGGTTTTTCAGCTTCTCATGCCCAGCCAGCGAGAAGGCTGGAGGGGCACAAGGAGTTGGGAGGGGACACAGCCAGGACAGCTGACCCAAACTGGCCAAAGGGGTATTCCATACCATGGGACATCATGCCCAGTATATAAACTGGGGAGAGCTGGCTGGGGGGGGGGCAGATCACTGCTGGGGAACTAACTGGGCATCAGTCAGCGAGTGGTGAGCTATTGCATTGTGCATCACTTGTCTTTCTTGGGTTATATTTCACTCTCTTTTTATTATCTTCCTTTTCATTACTATTATTATTATTAATAATATTTTTTTATTTCAGCTATCAAACTGTTCTTATGTCAACGCATGAGTTTGACTTGTTTTCGATTCTCCTCCCCATCCCACTGTGGGCTGGAGGAGGACTGAGTGAGAGGCTGCATGGTGCTTAGTGGCTGGCAGCAGTTAAACCATGACAGTGTGTTTTTGATCAGTTTTCTAGTGTCTAGAATACTGGTAACAGAACTTTAGGTGCAGCACCATACTGCATTTGAGCCTGTGATGTTGAAGACCCTTACAGGCTTAACTTGCATCCTTGGTAGCTTGGCCATTTCGTACCATACTTCATAATGTCATACACTTTATTTAGCAGAAATATTGAATGAAACCCGAGCTACGTGACAGAAGAAATATTAACAAATACATTTTTTTAATTGTGTGTCCATAGCCAATAGAGAGATCATATCTCTTTCAGTCTGCCCCTCTATTTTCTACTGCAGAAACTCCCTAGGAGTGAGACCAGGTGGCAGTCTACATGCTAAATTTTTAATAATAGTGAATGATGACCAGTACTACTTAAAATATTTTTAGGTCTCATTGAGTGTCATTAGGAATTAGAGAGGACTTTTCAAACTCTGTTTGTCATGAATAACTTAGTGGGGGAAAAAAAAAAATCCTCCTTTGGGAAAGTTGATCTGTCCATGCAGATTAACAAAGGTTTTAATACAGAATCTCAATAACAGGAAGAGACACTGCTGTTCCTAAACTGCATGAAAATCATCCTTGGATAAGGGATTTCTAGATCAAGGAGCTATTTTTTGCAGTTATGTTACTTCACTGTGGCTGCAGGTCGAGGAGACCTTAGTGAGCCATCTTCAACTCTGGAAACAGCTCAGCTATAGCAATGCAGAGCTCAGAGTGGGCTGCAAAATCCACTGAGAAATAAGGTAAATACTTAGGGGCTTCACTTATGCTGAGCTCTCAGCCACCACACAGCAACTCCCAAGTTGGCAATTTTAAAGATGGCTAGCTCTGGTACAGTTACTCTACGTGGGTACATCTAAGAAATGGGTTCTGTCAAGGGGATAAAAATGTCCTCAGATATGTGATGTGTTGCCACTAGCCTGTAGCAGGCAAACACAAGGCAAGGAGTTGAAACATAAAGAAAGAGCTATCTTAGCAGCTATTCTGGTTATCTACCCAGCTAAATGTACTTTGGAGAAATCTTGCT